TAAACAGCCCCTTCCAATTCTATGATTCTAAAGTTCAAATCTATTGTTTGAGTGTTGAACTGAGGAAATTATATTCATTTCTTTTTCTTTCCTTCAAGGCCTGGAGTATTACTTACCATAGTTGGTTAACATTTGTATTATTGATATGGTCTTGCATACTCTGGATGCTTCGTGACAGAAGGAAATATGCAATGATAAGTTCACCTTTCATGGTGGTTTATGGAAACTTATTATTAACGTTACAATATATATGGAGTTTTGAGCTGAATGATAATGAACTTCGTCAAGTTTCTGGATTTCTAGAACGAAAAGCTCCTCCTGAATTAGCATCAAAGGTAATAATTATACACACAGAAACTTATTTGGTCAGCCTATAGGATACTCATTTCATAAGGTTCATGCATTTATGTTAATAGTAAAAACTTCTAAAGAAGATTTTTCAAAAGTACAACAAGAAAACTATGATTAGTATCTGAAAATATATGCCTAAAATACTTTGAATTCTCATATTTGACTGTAGCAAATAGCTTTCTGGTATTTAAGGAATAGCTTTAGGAATACAAGTAAGTTATTTGGGCCCATTAATTTTTTTTTCCTGGATGAAAAATAATTTTCTTCATAGATTTCTAAAATAATTTATAGTTATTGTTGCTGTTTCCTCTGCCTTGCCCTAGTGAATTCTAGTCCCTTTACTCTCTGCTGGCTACTCCTTAATTAATAATTAAAGTTAAAATGAACAAAAATATATTATCATCTCCCAAAGATAGCATTAGTGCTTTTAAAGCCAGTTAAATGTTCCAGATATTCTGTTGGATATGTCTGAAATGAATTTCTCTCAAATGATTTATCTGCTTTAGAATCTAGCCAACAATTTTGTCATTAATTAGGTGTTTTATAAAATGTCCTATCTAAACTTTGTGGCTATCATAAAAAAATTATATTGTGTATAAAAAAGAAATATGCATATGCCATAATAATAGAGGAATGACTTCTAGATACTGTAAACAGGATAAAATACACTCTGGATTTAAACAGTCTTTCCTTCATTAGAAACAAGCTTATAAATTGATCATAATTCTGGATCATAATTCTGTCTATTATGTTTTTCAAAATGTGCTTATTTTAAAAAATATAAGCATAAGCTGCTTTGTAGAAAAGATTGTTCTCCTGGGAGATTTTGAAGCAGAAGTATAGCAGATATCCTGTGTAAGCATTAAAACAGAAAAGGGAGCAACATAAGAAATCAAAGCCAGTCAATCATAATAATTACCTGTGTGTGTGTGTGTGTATCTTGGCAAGGAGAGAACTGCTCTGTCCTTGAAGAAACCAGGTGATCCTCTTAATTAGTATTAGTCAGCATCACTATAACTGACTGTTACTTAGATCTACAAGATTTTGAATGCTAATTAAAGGGGAGTGGATTGACATCAGTGATTAGTGATTAGTTTATATATAAAGCAAGTATTCCTATCATGAAAAATTACTTTGGAAGAAAATAGCCTGTTCAGTCTCCTTTAATTATTTATTTAATCTATTTCTATCATTCATTCCTCTGTCAAGGCATCTTGATACTGTGTACATGAAATCGCCATAAAATCCAATAATGAATGGGGGGGGGGAATGTTAAAATAAAAGCTTTGAGTTAATAATATTTTTTAAAATGAGGGAAGAAAAAGCAAAAAAAAAAAAAAACCAAAAACCCACATGTGTAAAGGCGAGTATTTAGCCAATGCCTAAATTTGTAATTGGCTTAATTTATAAAATTCCAGAGAAGGTAGTCTGCAAGTCAAGGCACAGTAGGAATAAAAAACCTCTTTGGTTCTAATGATCATCCAGGTCTGTCCATTGTGTATGATGGCATTTCCCAACTTTTTGCCTTCCTGATACATTAGAACTGGCTAACGTGTTTTTGACATTTGTAATCGAATATACATTTGGGGAACAAGTTATGTCATATAAATATGATATGTATTTATGTATAGCTATGATGAAAAGCTAGGGATACTCCTTGAGGACATTAATAATGTCTACAACATGGCTTAATTCAGGGTCAAGACTTTGTTTGCTGATGTCTGGAAGATGTTTGGCAACATCATTCAATTTATCCTAAGTGTGCTATCACCGTACTGTGGGTCATGGAAATTCAATAACGTATTCAATAGTCTGTCTCCTCTTTGGTTTCAATTTCTGCTGACAGATACTTTTTGCGATTACTTTTTGGCTGCTGCTGAGACAACACCTCACTGAGCGGAAGTCTTTGCAATTAAATGAAACTGTTTTGTCAGAGGTCAAAATTGGAGAGGAAGAGAGTGAAGAAAAAGGTGAATACATATTTCAACTCAATATGCAAAATAGCCTCATGATATTGATGTCCATAGAGCTAGGAAATACTTCTGCTAGGATTCAACAGTATAAATATGTGTAGGTCAAGCAGATAAGGGAAAAATGAAGAATTAACTCTCAGTTTTAATTTTACTCTGCTTCTGATTTTTCTCAATCAATTCAGTTTTTTATATTAGCTTGCCAATAAAAAAAAAAAACTGGCATTAAAATTTGTATCCAGATTTTCAAGATGTGACCCAAAGGATCTATTCCTCAGTTCTCTTTTCTTATTTTATCTTTTCCTATTAAATTATGTATTCATGCATGTGTATAATAATTTTTATTTTCTTTATTAAATGTACTACATAGTTGACTAATGTGATGTCTCTGTGTTTTACAGTATGACAGTATAGTGTATCAGCCGATGTGACCAATGCAGTTGCACTTTTTATGAATAATTGTAACACTATAAAATAAGTTAATTGATGACATACGTTCTAGACAAAATTACATTTTACATTTACAGAGGAGGAATCCCAAAAAGAGGAAGAGGAAGAAGAAGAAGAATCTCCCAAAGATGAAGAGGAATCCTCAAAAGAAGAAGAGAGGGAATTAGAGGAGGAGGAAGAAGAAGAGGATGTAGTGAAAGTCCTAGGAAATATGGTGATGGCGATGTTTGTTAAATACTGGATTTATGTCTGTGGAGGAATGTTCTTCTTTGTCAGCTTTGAGGGAAAAATTGTCATGTACAAAATCATCTATATGATGCTCTTCTTGTTTTGTGTAGTCCTGTATCAGGTAAGTACTAAAAATTCTAGTTTTCTACATTTTTATTATTCTGAACATTTGTAACCAACATATATCTTTGGACTTGTGTTATAGAAATTCTAGCTATATATAATTGAGCTTAACCTATAATTTACTATAATAATAACAATAACAACAACAACAACAAATGCATATAAGGCCAGAATTGAGAAGACAGCAACAAACAGCAAATGCCGCCTCTGCAAAGAAGCTGAAGAAACAGTGGACCACCTAGTCAGCTGCTGCAAGAAGATTGCACAGACTAACTACAAACAATGGCATGACAAAGTAGCAAAAATGGGGCATTGGAATATCTGCAAGAAACACCATTTTGCCTGCAAGCAAGAACTGATGGGACCACAAAACAGACAAAGTAATAGAAAATAAAAAAGCTAAAGTGCTTTGGGACTTTAGAATTCAAACAGGCAAGCACTTGCCACACAACACCCCAGACTTGACAATTGTTGATAAGAAAGTCAAAAAAGTCTGGATAGTGGACATTGCAATACCCAGAGACAGCAGAAGAGAAGAGAAAGAACTGGACAAAATCACAAAATATAAAGACCCACAAATAGAAATAGAAAAACTATGACAAAAGAAAGCAAAGATAGTACCAATGGTAATAGGCGCCTTAGGTGAATCCCAAAACATCTGGAGCTCCACTTGAACACCATCAGCATTGATAAAATCACCATCAGTCAATTGCAAAAGGCAGCTTTACTTGGAACAGCTTACATCCTGCGATGATACCTTTAACATCAAACAACAACATCTGCCTATCCCGGGCTCTTAGGAGGACTTGATAGGTGGATAAAAATGCCAAATCCAGTCTAAATATTTGGCTGACTGTGCAACCAACCATAATATTATTATGATTATATCCTGCGACGATACCTTTAGCACCATCAAAGAACAACAACTGCCTATCCAGGTCCTTGGGAAGGACTCAATAGAAGGATAAAAATGCCAAAATCCAGTCTAAACATCTGGCTGATGGTGCGACCAACAACAACAACAATAATTCTATTTCTATTTGCAGGGCTTTGTATTTTGTGATTTTCTCCAGTTCTTTCTCTTCTAATACCTGGAGACAGCAGAATAGAAGAGAAAGAACTGGAGAAAA